TTAGAGGACTATTAAACCTCATCAGCCTGGATTTGTCCCACTGCAATATCTTTGAAATCCACCCACTTTTATTTTCACATCTGCCTTCTTTAGAAAGACTCGATTTAGCCTCCAATAACATGCGGTATGTCCCACAAGCCTTTAGGAACCTCTCCAGCCTCACAAGGCTGTCCCTGGAGGGCAACCACATAGAAGCCATCGGCAGAGATTCCCTGAAGGACCTGGAAACCCTGTATGATCTGAATCTCAGAAAGAATCGCATATGGATCATTCAAAATGGCGCTTTTACAAAGCTTCTCAGATTGGGCATGTTAAATTTAGGACACAACTTCATTGCTGATTTGCCTAATCAGCTTTTCAACGGGTTGATCCAGCTCAAGACCATGCACCTTGAAGCCAACAGAATCACTGCTGTCGACTGCACCTTCAGACATCTGCTGAACTTGAGAAACTTGTACCTGAACAACAATCAGATCTCCTTGATCTCAGACTCTGCTTTCTCTTACTTAAACAAGCTGCACTTCCTTCACCTGAGCAAGAACAACCTCAGCTCCCTCCCCATCCGTTTGTTCGCTGAACTGCCAAAACTGAAGTACGTGTTTTTATCCCACAACCCGTGGAAATGCGACTGCAAGATGCTTTGGTTCTTGCGGTGGACTGCAACACGCAGGGGAGCAATTGAAGGGCTGCATTGTGCCTTCCTGGGCCCTCACAACACGACAGCGCTCGATGTCTCCCGTCCAGGGGACTTGATGAACTGCATGGTGCCACCTGAGCTGGCAAGTGAAGACAAATGCAATGTGGCTGGTACCAGCATGGCTCCCAGGCCCACTGCTCTCCCCAGCAAGGTCATCTTGCTGGCACTTGTCTGCCACACGTGGTATTTTGCGAGGGGATGGGACACCTCCATGGCCACAATTTGACAATGTTTAAATTACAAAGTGGAGGCCACTTATTTATTTTCTTGCTATTTGTTTGTGAACAATGGTTTTCATTACAGGTGGGCTTCATACGGAAATAGAGGGATTTTATTATATATGAATAAATGCTTTCATTCATGGGCAATGCTCAAATCTGAAATGCAAATATGAAAACGCAATGTAAATGCTCACATGCAGAGAAGAACCTCACATTAGCAAGCTCACGGCTGGCTGGGGCTTGTGCTGGGTGACACAGGGCCAGGAAGTATGGTCCCACCACAGCCTCTGTCTTCCCCGTTTCCCAATGGGCCACAGCCATGTGTGATCTCTTGGGGAAGGGCTGCCTTCCTGCACTCAGCCCACACTGAGGATATTGAGAGTACTGCTGAAGTAGGAATAAATTGCACGTGTTCCAGCACATCTGGAGTCCCTAGAAAAGGCACAGTCCATCAGCATCCCTGTGAACATGCAGTAGCTTCCCACAGCTAGCACACGAGGTACTTTGCTATTAGAATATAAGACAGTGCTGGAGAAGCAGGCAGAAATGTCACCAAGTAAAACATTTTATTGCTCAGCTGCTCCTCACAGTACTGAGCCTCAGCTAATGCAGCTCTGCATTTACCCCTGCAAAGGGCTCATTTGTCACAGGGAGAAAAGTCAATACCACTGTGATGGTGGCATCATGATGACCCATTCCAGAGCTCATTGACAAAATGCAGGGAGACACAACTGTATGAGTTATGTCTCCCTGCATTTTGTCGATGAGCTCTGGCACGGCATCACACCAGTGCCATACCCCTGAGCCATCTCCCTTCAGCTGCTGGGAGACACTGATGGGTCATCATCATATCTCCATCACAGTGTTATTATCCTTTCTTTCCTCCCTCACATAGATGAGCCTTCTCCATCCGCCCAAAGGGAATTTTCCATTTCTGCAGGTATATTACAAACAGCCCAAATACTGCTGCAGACTATGTGACGCTCCACTAGAAAGCTCTCATGACATCCCTGTGCTGCATCAGAGCCATGAGCAGCCACATGGCCAGGGATGAACTTCATTTACAGTATAAAAGCCAAGGTTAAACTACACCCCTTTCTCTTCAGTGATTGACCACTGATCACAGTGTTGTCTCCATCCTCACCTTCCCTGTACTCCTCACTCACCATCTCCTGCACAGCCACTTCAAACACCCCACTCAGTTCTGTTAAATTGGCAAATAAGCATCCCATGGTGGCACACCAATGAAGAGAAGTCATGTAAGCTTCAGCAGCACAGGTTCAAAGGCACGGCCTTCCTCAAGCTGGTACAGAATCATAGAATAGTTTAGGTTGAAAAGACCTTTAAAGGTCATCTAGTCCAACCCCCCTGCAATAAGCAGGGATATCTTCAACTAGATCAGGTTGCTTAAAGCTCCGTTCAACCTGATCTTGAATGTTTCCAGGGATGGGGCTTCCACCACCTCCCTGGGCAACCTGCTCCAGTGTTTCACCACCCTCAACGTAAAAGATTTCTTCCTTATATCTAGTATAAATCTATCCTGTTTTAGTTTAAAAACATTACCCTTTGTCCTGCCACAACAGGCCACACTAAAAAGTTTGTCCCCACCTTTCCTATAGGCCCCCTTTAAGTATTGAAAGGCTGCTATAAGGTCTCCATGCAGCCTTCTCTTCTCTAGGCTGAACAACCCCAACTCTCTCAGCCTGTCCTCATGGAGAGGTGTTCCATCCCTCTGATCATTTTTGTGGCTGTCCTCTGGACCAGCTTAGCTTTGTGTTATCTGCAAAGTTGCTGAGTGTGCGCTCAATCTCACCATCTATATCATTTGATGAAGATACTAAACAGCACTGGTCCCAGTACAGACCCCTGAGGGATACCTCCTGTCACTGATCTCCATCTGGACATCGAGATGTTGACCACTATCCTTTGAATGTGATCACCCAACCAATTCGTCACCCGCTGAACAGTCCACCCGTCAAATCCATTTCTCTCCAATTTAGAGAGAAGGATGTTGTGGTGGACCATGTCAAAGGCCTTACAAAAGTCCAGACAGATGACATCCATAGCTCTTCCCTTGTCCACTGATGTAGTCACATCCAGAAATACCAGGGTTTTTTGGATGCTTTTTCCTTTGCAAGATTATTGATTTGCAACCTGTTCCTGGTGCCAGACAGCACACCTTGCCAGGGTAAATCCCTGCCTGGCACAGAGCCCCTTGAGAGGGGAACCCTTCTGCTCTGCAGGAAGCTGCAGGAAGCCCTTCCCCCGCCCCAATAGGTCACAGGAGCAGCCCCACAATCTCCAGAACCTGTTCTCAACCAAGGTGCCTGGTACTCACAGCAGTAGCAATAGCAAATCCCATCCGTCAGGCACCAGGCACAGTCAATCCTGGCCGTTTACACTTGGCAGATCTGGACTTCCTGCAGAGATTAAATTGCACCACAAGTACAGTGAGTAAGTCTGCCTGTGGAGATCTGTCCTGCAGACTTAGCACGGTCTTCTCTTGGCTTTGGCTACTGGTCCACAGAAGACACAATCTGCAGAGACAGCATTTGTGCCTCAGTGTCTCTTTGCTTTCCACCTTTGGGAAACTTCAGGAATTTACTAATTCCTAAAGCCACAGTGAGAAGAGCCCCCGCTACCCTTGCTCTGCCCTTGATATCAGCCATGTGGGCTGGTGGCAGCACAGCCAGGTCTAAGGCATGCTGTTCTTTACAGCTCTTTGGCTTTTTCTCCAAGGTGCTTTCAGCGATTTCTCACCTGACTTCTAAAAGCAAGAACGCCTAGGTAACATTGCAGAGACGACCAAATTTTCAGCAATTATCACTGTACAAATAATTGCCACAAGACATGCCCAACGTTTACTGAGCGGTCACAGAAGGAAACAACAGAATATGTGGCAGACACACCACATTTGCCCCCTCCTTAGAGGAATTATCCCAAGCTGGTTAGAGGTAAGAGAGAAATAAACCTTTGCATAGTGCTGAAAACACAAAAACCAGCACATTTTGACAAGGGAAACCTGCCATGGAGTGCAGAGTAAGACCAGCCTTTGCTGTTGCACCAGTGAAGGGGCAAACTGGGGCTGCACACCAAAACCATACACGTTGCAGTTTCCTGATTGTCAGATTTGTGATTAGATTTGTGCAAAGTATTCAACGGTCAATACATTTTTGCTTACATTTTCGTTGTGCTGTTTCACCATTTTGTTTGTGCATTCAGCACCATCCTCACTTTCCTCAACTTCACATAGTTTGGGAAGCAGCAGAAAAAAAATCTCCAGTTTGTTTCTTGCTTTTGCATTCCTCTCTGAAATCTGTCTACAATAGAAAAAGACAGAAGTAAAAAACAGGCAAGCAAAACCCACCCCAGCAACTTTTTTAAAGTCCCTGCAAAATTAGACTTTTTCCATCGAAAAATATAAACTGGTGAAAAGTTTATATGAAGGAGAGCCTTGTCTCCTCTGGATACTTGCAGAAAATATTCCTTCCACTTTTATGCCACCACCTGTTTAAACACTGAATGGGAGCCCAAATAAATTGCTTCTGTGCTACGATGAAGCTGCAATAGAAATACTTAAAAAGTTGTACACAGCATGCTCAGGAAGAACATGTGGCTACATTTTTTATCCACAAAAAATGAAACTTGCAAGGAATACAAGAAAAACTTCATTAAAAACCACAGACCCTGAAGATGCAGTCTGGGCTTGGAAAGACATTTGAAGGAGATCCTTGAGATTAAGGACAATGCATACTCACGAAGGCAGCAGCAAGCTCAACTGTTTAAAAAAATAAATATATTTCATCATGAACAAAGCTGACACAGCTAGAAATCCTTGGAAGCAAAAGCATGTAAATGAATAAACAGAAACCAAGCAATTGAAAAGAGCAAAAAGAATTGCAGGAACAAAAAAATGTGTTAAAGCTAGCATCTCTGGCTCCTGTCGGAAACTTTTAGGAGTGTTTTATAAAACAGAAACTATTCTGAAAGCTTGCTTGCTTCTTTTGAGAAAGCATTGGGGTTTATCCTGCCTGCCCTGCACTGGACCTTCACTGTGAGATCTCTGCTTTGACCCAGAACTTTTCTTTGATTTAGCC